AGGTTGGCAGTTACTGAAAACATACTCCAACACTTTATCTGCAAATATAGAGTTTATTCTTTTGTGTAGCACAATACGCACTGTACTTCCTTATGTGTTTCATACAGGAATGGTATGAGCAGTACAAAATAACAAGGTATTTTCCCAAGTCACCATGTAATCTGAAATATAACAACATGGTGGGAGATTGTTGAGCAGCTTGTGGCTTGCCTCACAATACAACCATTTATATTTGAAAACTACAAAATATGGACAAGAATCTTCACTTTCATTTTTAAAGAAGATTATAAATAATCAACTAATGTATACGGAAAGATTAACTATCACTTTCTAATACTCCTTCGTCTGCAGTATTTAAAAAAATACAGTATTACTTAAAACATAGGATGAATTAGGCTTGGAACCCTATCCATATTACAGCAGATTAGATAGTAGTAGTATGATTTTTCCCTATGACCATTGAGATAAGATATGTAAACTATGGCCACGGATGGGTGTTTCGTGGTAAACAATTGCACCCAAGTGCCGTTCCAAGTCAGAAACTTGAGTGGAAACTCGAAATTTATAAAATTCATACTTCAGAAACCTGAAACTTGTAAACCAAGAATTACTTTAAATCTAAGTATCTAATAAAACCAATTTTTGTCACAAGACATAAGAATTTTAATCCATGAAAACGTACTGAAAATACGAAAATTAATAGAATTAAAAATTAAAGTGTAGTCCCGAGGATTTAGCACTAATTATGCCCTAATGCAGCTGCTTGTATATATCAATTTATTGTAAACGACAGTATTTCACAATATAAAGAGCCCTTTTAAAAGTAGAATAATGAATTTTTCTGGAGTTATCGTTTGATAATTCAGTATGACAATACTTTCAATATCCCTTTCGTTCTTAATAAGCAGTTCCCATCCTTAATTATACAATGGACGAAAACGAGTCACAACCGATGACAATATTTCTTTAAAATGTATAATTACCCTACTGTATTATATGTTTGAAGATAATTTACGGTAACATTTTTCCAATTATCGCGGTTGCCCTTTTTGCTGGTTCAAGGTATAAATGGGGCACATTTAGGTAAAAGTATCACCACTATCAGTTGGTAAAAATATATAGCCTAGCTGAAAAAAAATATGTAGCAGAACATTGCCAAACATTGTTTTAAAAACCTTTTCTGGTATTGATAATCTATAGAATTTTTTATGCGTAAAAGATATTAAAAATTTTCCTCTTTTGAACTCAATATTTTGCGTGAGAACGAATTATTCCATATTCAAAAAATCTCCCAATCAGTTATGTCAGAGTTTGGACAATAAATCAAATCAACATCAATTATAACAACAAGTTTTTATCTTTATTTTAATCTCTGTAAAATGATCGACAGACCGATTGAAGAACAAAATCCTTTTGTATATACATTCAAATCTTAACAAAGACGACATAATGTATTTTGCGTATTGGTAAGATTTGTATTGGACTCCTATACTTCTAGGCGTAGGTACATGTGAAGTCACATTTTTGATTTTCGAAATCAATCGCCAGAATTGATTAAATCAGTATTGGCTATTGCTGTTTTAGATCTGTTTTATACATGCAGTAAATGAAAAAAAAACAAAATGTGCTTCTCTTCTTACTGTATCAAAATGTTGTTTCACTTCACTACATGCCATGATCAAAGTAAATCGAAGTAGGATATCAATTGCCATAATTGTTAGTATTTAGGTTGAAATTAGTCTTTTAAAACTTTGAACCAACATTCGAAACATTCGATCCGTGGAGTTTTGAAACAATCGTCAAATGATTCGAATATAAGACAAACACCGTTAATTTATATTTTTGCCACTAATGTTATAGGGAAAAATGAGTTTTAGCGATAATTTTAAATGAAAATGATTATCAGGGATTCAAGGAGTAAATCAGGATAATATTGATTCAAAGGTTACCACTGCAAAAGTTCCGATATCAATCAAAAGGTGAAATTATTCTCGAGTTTTCTCTTGCCAAAGTTTGCCATGGCGTTGTCAGTTTTTTTACGACTTATAATCTTGGATTTCCTCTTGGTATCTTCTGCCTCTTTCTACGATATAAATGTTTACTTTTAAGGAACGTTTCCGTCCTCATACAAATGATTACTGAGTCTCAAAATGAATGGAAGCAAAATAATTTGCAAATTATACCACATTAACGAATAGTTTTTGAAATGTCTGCGTTCACATCTATAGTTTTGCATATGTGATACTTCAATTTTTTATGTTCATTGACTTCAATTTCCTATGCTCACTGACTCACAAATTGTTGGTCTTATTTTCATCTCGTTTTTTTAAGGCAACGGGGGAAGTAAGTGTTACTCTTGATCGTCCGTCCTTCCATCCGTCCGCCCGTCCCATTTTTATTTCCACACTCTGACTTAAGTTTTCCTCATCCAAGTTTTATGAAACTCATACACAATGCTAAGAACCAAAATTTGCAAACAGAGTTCGAATTTTGGAATCAAGTCACTTGCAGTTCTAGTGTTATCCTCCTTTTCAACCTGGAAAATTGCAAAGCTGGAGCGGGGGTATTCCTGTCCTCAGACACATTCTTCTTTTATTTTTAAAATGTAATTTTATTGTCATTGTTCGTATCGACATATGTAACTGCATAATTGTTTAGGCTCTGTTTCATTTGTATCTTCACTTGTGTGACTCTTCCTATTGCCTCTTTGATCAAACAAAATTGTTATAAAGTTATTTGTTAATTATTATTCAACTGTATTGATCTAGTACAATTGTCCGCTAGGCCAGTTATGATAATCTGAACATGTTAAATGATTGAGACAAGTGAAAAGCAACTGCCATATTGATTTGGTACTGACAATTTCCGAGGAACATGTGAGTATAAAAAAAAACTTGAATATTCATCTACTTTCAATTTTGAATGAACTGATTAAAATGATAATTTAAGTCGGCCTCATATCTTGACTTACATCTATAATTTGACAATGATTGTCGGTTGAAAACAAAACTTTACGACAAAAGTGATGATTTCAGCTTCCCAATTGTGAACTTCCCATTTTTATGTACCAACATTCAAGCAGCACCTGCATACGTATCTCCTAGTTGATACGATATTCCCGGGCTTGTATTTCCTATCATGATTTTCTTGATGGTTGCTGCTCACAAGGAAGCTGTTAAACCAAGAATTCCAAGTGGTGAAGTTGAAATCGTCCCTTTCACAGATGACAACGGATATGCTTCCAATTGTCGTAACTACAATCCTGTCGCCTTTTCTCCGAATGTGACCTACCGAATTAGACTTATCACCGGGTTTGTCCTAACATGAGCAACACGACGGGTGTCAAATGTGGAGCAGGATCTGCTTACCCTTTCGGAGCGCATGTGATCACTCCCAGTTTTTGGTAGGGTTTGTGTTGCTCAGTCTTTAGTTTTTTATGTTGTGTTTTGTGTACTGTTGTTTGTTTGTCTTTTTTTTTTTAGCCATAGCGTTGTCAGTTTATTTTCGACTTGGGAGTTTGAATGTCCCTTTCGTATCCTTCGCCTCTCTTTTAGGCAACAGTAGTCAATGTTCAATCAATCGATGAAGAAGCTACAAATCATGGTAAAAACATAAAAATGAGGGAATCACATGAATTTCAAAAGGAGCGACTCATTTAAAATATTATAATCGGGAATAGGACACAATCGATACAATTACAGATCAGACGATTATTCTGGTATCTCAAGATCTAACACCTCCAAAACATGTGAGTTGACACAAAGACATATCTTATCGGTCAACCAATTCGTGATGTTGACCGTAAAACTTAAGCTATGTCGATTTCAGTCATTCTTCCTCATAATTCTGTTAGAGCATTTTTGGTGTAAAAAGAACAACCATTTAGTAGTCTGTATATTTTGAGCATGCACGATCATAACGTGTTTATTAAGCTATGAAACATCATATTATGTCAACCGATGTGAAGCAAGGGCTCACAATCTGCTCTATCACCTCTTAGCTATGTACATGTTATTTTATGTGTTGTGATACTGAATGTTTTGTCATAACGGTCATTCAAGATATTGATTTTTGTTTTGCCAGTTTTTTATCGGGTTTTCTGACAAAAAGCCGGTTATTGGTTTGGGGTTGTACGGCTGGTGGACGGTTGATCGGCTCAAGTTGCCTCCATGCAATCCCTTACAAACAGTTTCTACCAATGATTTTCAAATTTTATTATGTTGTTTCTAGTGACAAAATGGAAGTCAAATTCGATATTTAAACGACGTTCAGACGCGATGGTCCTTGTATGATTGGAATATTGGATATTTGTGTCGTTTCTGTGCAACATATTATATAAAGATAAGAAGATATGGTATGATTGTCAATGAAACAGCTACTAGTATCAACCAGAGACCAAATGACGTAGATGTGGGTCAAAATGGAGTTCACGTTCGATATTGACGATTCATGATCCTTGATTGATTGAAAAATTGTATCCTATTTAGCTTTTAGTTTTGAAGTCGTGCATCTGTGTCAATGTCGCGGAAAAGACTAAAATATGAAGGAGACCTTCCAGTTTCGGTACCATCCTTAATCTGAAGTTCACTTGGATGTTTGAGATGCAAGCACTCACTGAAATGTGGGTTATTGATTGACAGGACCTCATAAATATATCAGGAAGGGAAATTAAAGAATTTTGCAAGATTATTTTATTTCTTGTTTTTGAGAAGAATTTTATGAATTCTGCTTCATAAAGGTACAAAAACAAATCGATCAGTTGGGTGCACAATTAGTACACATTGGAATACCGACTGCGTGGTGAAATATATATCCACCAAACTTAGTAAATATGCTGTCGATCAAAAAGTCAAGTATTTTGATGTTATTTGTATGTGTATTTGTTTTTGGAATCAGTTCAGGTATTCACACAGTAAGTTTTTTCAGAAGTAAAATGTTTTTGATACAGATATAACTTGCTTCTTGTAATGTTTAAGTGGAAAAAATAAAACAAAATAACATTTATTTAAGAATTCATTTTATTTATTAAAAAATCCCCACTATCCCATCTCTTTTAATATACATTTTAGACAACAAAATACAACAGAAAACAATGATTGCAAAATACCGGCAAAATATAGATGAATAAATGGCACATTTAAATAGCTTAATTCATTGTTTGAGTGTGTCTATTTACACTTACTAGATGTGAGTTACATGATATAAGATAAGTTTCAAATAACAGTAATGTATAAATGCATTAAATATTTATGTCATTGCTGAGAATTTACACGAAATTAATCGTTTAATTTGTGCAGAAATAAAATTGAAACTTAAATGAAGAGTGAAGTTCCACACTGAGATTAAAGACGAATTGAGATCGTTTTAAAAAAAGAAAAAAATATAGGTGAATACATGTATCTCTATATTAGTTAAAGTATTTCAATGGTTTGATTATTTTGCTCATATCTTCTTATAAAATTTTAAAAAGATAAAATATAAATGACATGCAAATGTTTTAGTTTGTAACAGAGCATATAGCACTATCACTCGTTCTATTGGAAAGTGAATGACCATAATTTTGTGTAATAATGTGATTTTTTTCTTGAAAGCGATAAAACGTCGATCATGATTTTTTTTTTTCGTACTGCGAATATTAGAGGTGCGGTTTAAATTAATTTTTCATATGACTTTATTAAAATTTATAGATGAAAGTTACTTGAAAGCTATTGTTTCATTGAAGTGTCATGCATATTAGTTACCATTTAATTCAAAATAATGCATTTCGAAATACTTGGCGTTTGTGAAGAAAATTAAGTTGAACCATTTTCAACGTAATAACAGTCGACTACAAAATTCAGAGAAACTTTGTTTCTTGACATTAACATAAAGATAGTTTATCAAGGTTCGGCTAATCGTAAAACAGAGAAAATGTTAGCTTAAACAATCGGAATTGCACGAACTTTAAACGGAGTGATACATCAAACCTATGATTGTAACGTCATTTTTACCCCCCCCCCCAAAAAAAAAAAACAAAAAAATAAAACAAAAAAAAAACCGGGTTATTGGGATACGAAATGCGTAAATTATACATATTGTGGAGCAATGACTTAACATTTAATTCTAACAAATGTTAGTGCAAATACTTTTGGTTTTGTTTTTTACTTTGAAAGGAAATATTGATTATCCATCATGCAGTTGTGACTGCCTTCAAGGGTCTTATCTTTTCAGTCACGTATTTGTCCCAATTTGAATGTAACCATTTTGATCGCGTGAAGAACGAACACAAATAACTTTTAATTTCTTGTTAACAACCACATATGTAAATCTTCCACGAGACAAAAAGATCATTCTAAAGTTTTGATATAAATAATTTCCTTGGGTGTAAAATGAAAAGAAAAATACTTAAACCCGCGATCTCGGTTTCAGCCATCTTGAGAGTTATTATAACATGTTGTTATGTTCATCTTTTTTCGGCTGCTTTAATCGAATTAATGCATGCATTTTTTATATATAGTTAGTGCAAATATTGCAATTAAACTGTACATGTCGCTTGTGACATGCCTAAATAATTTGAATCTGACGGCCGATGTCTGAAGTAGTACTGAAAAGATCTCAAAACTAAATATTAAAATGATTAATGTTAATACATTTCAAAAAGTGTTCTCATTTAAATTCATTAAATGGTTTACCACCCAAACTCCATTTACAATTAATATTGTTGAAATATACAAACATTTGCACACTAATACAATGGTTTAACTTAAAACAACACAAAATTATGAACGTGCAAAATATATCTGTTATCCATTAAATAACTCTGTAAATTTATGACAATAATATGAAAATTTGTAATACAGATTCCTAGAAATAAATCGTGCGCAATGATGACTAATAGTTACTTCCGTCCAGTGGAAGTGAGACATATAAAACCCTGAGATTATAAAATTGTATTTATAATGAGTGACGAAAGCGCTGCCTTTTAAAAAATTGAAGTTTCAATAAGCATGACATTCTTGGTCCAAAGTTTTACCTCGATATATAAAAGCTTATTATTTCTTTGATAAAAAAGGTATTGAGTTTTTAATATTGGTAGTAATTTAACAACTTTGTTTGTTTTTTTTGTTTTTTTTTGTTTTATCCTTCTTGAAGTTGACTTCGTTCTGAGCATGAATGGGACTGTTGGCAATGTTTTAAAAATCTTGTCAAATAAAATTGAAAATGTAATAACAATATATATGATATAACAATACGAGAAGCTTCCAAAGCATGACAATACATGCTGTTTAATGGAATATCAGCCATTCCCATGTACCTTCTAGAATGGAAATCATATTATATTTCTCTCTTTTATCATTTGTTTCATCAACTGTATCGATTTTAGAGTTGCACCAAACGCGATTCCTTATCATTTAAAAACAGGTAGATTTATCACAGCATTTAACTTACAATAACAATTAAATCAAATCTAGCACTTATCTTGCACATGTACAAGGCACTCACATATGTTTGTAAACTGTTTATTACACTTGCACACACACACACACACACACACACACAAACAAACACACACACCACTACAACTGCATACAAAACTAGTTATCCCATACAAATCGGTTCACATATTCCAATGATATATTATTTGTCATTTTTGCTATTTTCCCACAAACAAGCACACACACATATGTCCACGTATATAAATAACGTTCGTTCTATCAATGCCATTTATCAGAAGATCATTTAAACATAAATATCTCTATATAAAGGTAGTATCATAAACATGATAGGATATATGCATCCCTGAAAATTGGTCTTCATTTTAAGATCCAAGTGTTTTACAGATACTTGGCTAAATCTAAAGTTCCGTTAAGTACTACGTTGTAGAATTTCATTGCATATAATGCTATGTATAAACAATGTCAATTAAAAGCAAGTTATCGAAATAGAAGAAATTATACTTATATGTAATTGTAATGGACTTGCATTAATAGTGATCTCTGTATCCAGTGCAGTAAATGTTTTGTCGTCTATCATTTTTTCAGAACTTTTTAATAAATGGAAATAATGAAGAAGAATTGATTTTATAAAAATAATTTAGTTTCACTTCCGGAAGAAGATCGTTCACTGTCTGTACATCGATTCAGCTTACACGATGGCGCACATTTTGAGTCTTTGCAACTAACATGGTGACGTGGAATTGTCACTACTGGAGGATAGGGATATCGTTCATAATAGTCCCCTCTCCGTCTTAAAAGATACATCGCAAAAATAATTAGGGCTAGAAGTACACACAGTCCTGCAACTGGAACTGCAATGTAGATAGGATTTATCATCCCGGAGCTGCCGTTTCCGGAATTTAAAACGGACTGAGGACAGTTTGTCTTTACTGTTATTGTCTCTATTTGATTTTCATCCAAATAATCGTTTGTGTCTTCTTGAGATGGCAAAACAGGAAGATCTGAAAACAGAAACATTATCCATTATAATTTGTTTGTTCAAAAGGATTTATTTACAATATTGTATTCATAGTAAGTATTTGGCTTTAAACGTAATTGCCCCAGCAATCTGCTCTCATCAATGTACTAATGTATGTATGCGTGTCATCAGGGTAAATACATCACTACCTTATGCATAATGTAGATCAACTTTATATATTTGAAACTATTGGCACCGGAGTTGCCGCAATCTTCACTAGAGGTCGTATCGACATAATACTAATTCATACATAGTGTTAGTACCTTGTTAATTTCATCATGAGGCACACAGTTATTTCTTACGTATAAGTCTACATATATACATTAACATCCAAGATTATATCCATATTCAATAAGAAAAGGATTGCAATTTGTTGTTTTGAAATAATATATATTTTTTTAACTTCATGAATTCACATTTCTATAAAAAAAATATTTCTCTCAATGTTAATTTATATCTAAACGTGTACTAGTGTTTGTAAAATTCTAAATGACGAAGTATGTCTTGCTCGCCCTTATTTTGGGGAGGTTTCTCTACAGTATTATTATATATCTAAAGTATATTAGTGTTTGTATAATTCTAAATGACGATGTATGTTTTACTTACCCTTACTTCGGGGAGGTTCTGTTGGTATAACACCTTTATTACAAAAGTCTTTGTCACGGCAACAATGTAAAACAGGCCAACCAGCCATTAATTTAGCTATCTTCTTCTTGTTTGGACGTTGATTTTCGCATAACAAGGGTGTTTTCCTATCTATACATCCTCTCTCTACAATATCGTTGGTCATCTGACTATAACACGAATGACTAGCTGTACATATTCTTCTTCTTTCTGACAAACATTCATAAGTTGTACATTCACATTCTAAACCTGTAAATAATGATTTACTTGTAAACAGTTGGCTTTCAAAGAAGGAATAGCATTTAGAGCAGTACATGTATATACTTATATGAGTCTATTCTCACATGATTAACTTCAGTATTGAGTTTTACCTTGCATTCATGTGTTTTTGTACAGTTGTTTATATCACTGAACCAAATCTGGCGTTGTATTTTCTGATGTCAAATAATGTTCTGTTTTGTGCGAATTAACTCCACGAAATGTCCAGTGGTAAATAATACAGGACTAACGCAGAAAGGTTATATTTTAATAAATTTTTCAGTACAACTGAAAAAAAGATCTACAGATTTAAATCTGTCATTGCTTTACAACTATAAACGAAACCATCACGGATGTAGTAAAAGTAAAAAGATGCATCTTAATAAGTTTGTATTTCGCTTACTACAGTTGGGGTGATGTAGGATATTCATTATAATATATCAAGGGGTACACTAATGGAAAATGTATGTTGTTATTTGTAACATAAAAATCGAAATGAAAATATAAACATACTACGGTAGCGAAAAACGCTCAGTATATTTAAGCGATCTGATCATAGTTAGTAATTCAAAGTGATGAATGGAAAACATTTTGAATCTAATTCAAGAGTCGGTGTAAGTTATACACAGAAATACTACTACATGTATCATTATTAATATATTGAAAAGGCATAATAGGCGGAAACATAATAAATTATATTGCTGATCATTTAAGTACCCGACAACACCATAAGCAATATACAAAGAAACCACTATTCTTTGAAACGTGTTACCAACATAAAAAATCCATGCATTTTCTTTCGCCGAATATAGGTATAGAAATAAACAATGATACCTTATCGTGCCTCTTAGTCGAGTTACAATCAATTTGACAAAATTAATAACTATATTGCATGCAACAGAACATGTACTTATATTGTAATTATTGCTTTGTCAATGATAAACAGATGCCATATCACGTTTCTACCAGACTGATTGTTAAATAACAAAACCTTCGGAAAACTTCAATACGTGCATGGTTTGAAGCTGAATGACGAGGAGGTATCCGAGGAAATATCTATTTACCGTTTTAGACGAGTGTATATTCGAAAGGATCAATAAGCAACAAGACATTAGTCGACAAAATTTTAATGATCGTCAGTCACGGAGCATTTTATATAACTTTCTGATATTCGGGTGAATAAAACATTTTGAGTATATTTCAAGTTGAAATTAAAATGTATTACAATTTTAAAGGTGTAATTCATGTTTTCCACTTCCTATTGTCTTACAAGCTAATAAAAATATATAGATAATGTGTTCATGCTTCGCGTACAAGGAAAGTGGCACAGATCATCGTCTTACTATACCTCGGGTCAGATTGCATTCTCTTACTATACCTCGGTATAACATAAAGGAGCAAGCAATCACGCCCTATGATAATAAATTAAACCAACTTATGCCCAATGTATGAAAAGATAAAGTGACATTATGTTTGATGTCATGAAATGTAATTAAAGTAAGGAAGAATTGAAGTGTCGAATTCAGAGATAAAGTGGGGGTTGGAGTCGTACAACCCCCCACCCCCTTTTTTAATCGGAAAAATTATGTTTATGTATAAAATCGTAAAAAATAAAATCGGTATTTAACCCATTTTTGACAATTAAGCTCCCCCTTCTTCAGACCCTAGATCCACCCCTGAATTGGTTAACACCTGAAAAAAAGTCGGTCGCGTATTCTTACATAGCATCAGTAGACAATCAGATTGAAATTAAATAAGACCAGTAAACTTTTCCTAACAACATTAACAGTGACCAGTGATTCATAGCTTAACCTCGCTGTCACTGTTCAGTGGTCATTGGCAAAAAGGCTAATGCTATTAAGGACAATAAATGACCACTCGTGTCGCGGTCAAACGTCTTACACTGACAACAGGAATAGATTTTAAGGATAGATATCATACACAAGTTTTAAAAAATGTCCTCCTTCGACATTTACTGGGCGTCTCATTGAGACTCAAAATGAAAACAGCGGTATACAAAGTACCTCAGCCTTAACATGTTAAATACAAAATGGAGGCAAAGTATATGTTCTTAATATAACAGAAGTATCTTATTAAGTTGCACTCTAGCGGATATATAATAAAGATGAAGAGTGTTCACAAAATATATGCATTATTTCTTTTAACTCTTGCAAAAATAACTTCATGTTATCACTAAAATTCAGAAAATAATTTATTGTTTCTGCATGCACTTGTTATGCAATAGGTGAAGATTTATTGATAAATTATCTTTTTATCTACTAGTACTTTATGATAATTACTTACATATGTGCATTATAAATAATTTGAAATATAATAAATTTCAATTAACTTGATAATTTTTCGTTTATTTGTCCGCCCATGAATCACCCCCTTAAACTAACCATTCAACATGTTACGGTAAATAAAAAACAAAAATTTTGGAATCAGAATTAAAACAAAAATAGTGGTATCATCGACAGTTTTTCAATTCTTTTTTTTTGGAAGCAATTTCTAAGTTTACAAAAATGCAATATAAAGCATGTTTAAGATAATGAAAACAGTTCTTAGGAATTCAAATTTACAAAAGGACGATTAAGATTGGTTTTTATTATTGCAGTGGGATATTAGGCACCATTTTTGTAATAAAGAATACCGTTTAATTTTTTTTGTAAACATAAAGCTGTCATTAGTTTACATATAATATTGATATATGTAGTGCACGACCGGGAGATCATGTGCTCATACAAATGTTGTAATGCATTGAAGTGTCATAGAATTTAGAGAGGTTGTATTTGCATGAAATTGTGTACGCTGGTATTTTCCATTGTGTTTCAAAATTTATATATTTAATTTTTGCAACTTTACAACTAAAAATGTGAAAGAAATTTCAAACTTATTTTTGTATCAATTAAAATTTTTAAAAACGTTTTAAGGATATTTGTATCCGGTATTCCGATACAGTTTTGATAATTTCATTAAAACAAATTACATTGCGTCATTAAATTAAAAACTGAGTGCAATTTAAATTACGCACCACGTGTCTAAAAATCAACAGATGAAAAAATTATCTCTATGATTTATCTTGAAGTAATGTGTTTTTAATAGTCTTCGATATTTCATGTTGATTTTTTTGGAGATAATTGTAAAAACCATTGCTTTACCATTTGATGCATACAGTATTTACAACTAAATTAAGACTGTAAACTTGCCGGTTCCAAGCCATTTAACTGGTTTGAAAATGCAATAAAATTATCTGTCAAACAATTTGTACATTTAAACAAGACATTTACTTTAAGTTTGAATATTTCATTCAATGCATTTGTACATACACTGTAACCTCACATAAATAGCAAATTAAACTGTGACTTTTTTTATCTTCAAATGCCCTCTGAAAAATACATTTTCTGCTTTTTGACTTTTTGTTTTGAGAATAAACAGACAGATACAGTGTAAGATTTTTTTAGTTTTTGCATTTTAAATATGTATACGGATACTGCTCAACCACAAAACAAACTGAAATTGTAGTTTACTTGGAGTGAAATTTTTGATCGCTTATTATGCTTACAAACGAAGTGACAGATTTTTAGTCTTTTGACAATATGTTTTGACATCTTATTTGTCTAGATACAAATCTGTCATATATTTTATACATTACATGTACAAAAAAAAATAATTATCAAAATTTAAATAGAAAACATGTATATCATCTATCTAACAACCACCCGTTCATTTCACCTTTGGTCTCCAAAAAGAATAAACTTTTTAATCTTCAATGACATAATCTAGTTGGCGCTTGTAATCTGGTCTAGGAGACGCATTAATTCGCTAAATCGCCAAATAACAATTTTATCAGTTCTTACCATCGATTCAATTTTTAAAATGTTGATTTAAAGTAAGAGGAAATTAAATAGACTTAAATGTAAAATGATCCATTTTAAAATTAATATTAAATTTCTACAGTAAGTAATGAATTTATATTGAAATAAAAATTACTCCGTTGTTTCGAAATTATAGGAAATTACTACATTTTTTTACAAGTTATGACAAATTGATTTTGCGAGTACAATGGAAAATTCTATACTTTCATTGTAGTAAATGGAATTCGAAGGTAATTTTTAAATTTCATACGAAAATTAGTATCCCACTTGACACGACAGCTGCATGTGTAGTCGCCAAAAGCAGTTTGGGGTGACTGGTTATCAGTGATTATTCTCTAACCCTTTTCATGAGAAGACAGACTGACTACAGACCATAATTACTTCATTAGTGGAATCACGTAGTTATGTAAAATTTGTGTTATTATAAAGGATGAACAGTTCTTATTTCACAAGGCTTTCATTTAATCAATTCAAAATTACCGTTAACAAGGATGTGTACTACCACATTATCACGTCATAGTCAGGTTTCACAAAACCTTTACAGATAGGACAAATTATAGAAGTTTGAAATTTCAGATTTAATACTTATTAATTACAAAGGCAAGTTTAACAATTCATAACTGAAAGGAAACCATGTTTGTATTTAGTTTTCCATAATTGATATTTATATGTATATTTGGAATTACTGTCCTATGCTTTAGTAAAACGATGTTCAAATTTGACAAAAACTGTATTTGGTGTTCATATCTAATTAAAATTTATTACATTTAAATTAGTAGTAGAATTCAATATTTTATTTCATTTTGTTCCAATACCTTTGCACACAATCGAGTGAATTCCTTCAAATGTAGACCTATTGGTCGATGTTTTGCTTATAACGTCCAGTGGCAATTATTTCATGCATATTCACGACGATATATACAATGTATATCTAACAATCTTAAAATTCCTATAGAAACTGGCAGATGTAACAACATCGCATAGAATCGATCGTTTATGTACCTTATGGTATGAATGTGTTGGTGATGAATAACATTATTTATATGTATGTAATAAAACTACTATCACTAAACTTCGGAAGAAATATATACCGAAATATTATACAACATACCC